AAAAAAAAAAAAATGACATCAAACATATCTGTAATGTCTCAGTGTGAGGAAAAGGCGATTTTAAAGAACTTGTTTAAAATATTAAAGTATTAAAATCCAGATGAAGGAAATGAAGTTGAAAACTAACCTCTAAAGGCTGCGCGTGGTAATGATCTGTTGGATCTTTCAATTCTGCCGCTTCTTTCATTAAACGCTTAACAGCTAAAATAAAAATTCATAAAAACAGATATTTTAAATAGACTTTTTGAATGGTTAGCACAGACAAACAGGCTTAATGAAAAAGTTTCTACTTCACTGAGAAATTATAGTTCACCTAAACATAATACAATAAAGCTTTAATTGTAGAGGAACAGTAGTAAATGGGTGAAGTGAAAGAAATGGTAGCCAGACATAGAAGAACAGCATACTTTGAATATATGTGTGTATGTACACACACACACACACACAGGCAAGTCAACTTTTATTTAATAAGTACCTAGATAAATGCTACCACATAAGAAGTATATAAAGTGCTTTACAAACATTAACTCATTTAATCCTCAAAACACTAAAGGTTGTAATTACTTCTGTCTCCCTTTTCCAGATAAGGATGTGAGATGTGAAGGGATTACATAAATTGCTTAAGGTCACAGCTAGGATAGGACAGAGCTGGGGTTCCAACACAGGCAGTCTGACTCTGCCTTGTCTAAACGTGTTACCACAAATGTGCCCTCTCTAGATCTCTTGCTCACAGAAGTAAACCCACATGTCTTCAACCGCTTGGGGCTTTCCACCCACTATCTTGTATTAACTTAATGGGCTGTCCCCAGATTCCACTCAATCTCCACAGCGCCATTACATTCTTTTCAAAATTACTCTCCCCAATTTAATCAAAACCTCCAACCCACAGACTCCCACCTGTTCATATATTTACTTTCCTCTTTATGCACATCCTTGCCCTTAGAAGTCCCTCTCATACTGCCCTAATAAAAGTCAACTCTGGATGACGCACTCAACCATCTTATTTACTATCTATACCCAATCAGTTAAGCATACCCTTCTCTCCTCTCTTTCACCTTTTCTGTTATTTCACCTTTTCTGTTAAGTGTGGTTTAAAGAAATGGATTTTACAAGAATGCACCTGAGGCCAAGCACAAACTCCAATACTACCTGGATCCACACCCTTTCTCCTTTTGTAATGGCTTTCAACTCCTATCACTTCAAGCTTTCCTTGCTAAGAAAATGTGAAGATTGGGCTGGGAAGATGGCTCAGTAGTAGAGTGCTTGCCTTGCATGCATGAGGCCCTGGGTTCGATTCCTCAGCACCACATAAGCAAAAAGAAAAAAAGCCGGAAGTGGCGCTGTGGCTCAAGTGGTAGAGCGCTAGCCTTGAGCTGAAGAGCTGAGGGACAGCGCCCAGGCCCAGGGTTCAGGCCCCACAACCAGACCCCCAAAAAAAGAAAAGAAAATGTGAAGATAGCCACGCACCAGTGGCTCATGCCTGTAATCCTAGCTACTTAGAAGACTGAGATCTGAAGATTGTGGTTCAAAGCCAGCCTGGGAAGGAAAGTCCATGAGACTCTTAACTCCAATAAACCGCTCAGATAACCACCAGAAGTGGTGCTGTGGCTCAAGTAGCAGAGCGCTAGCCTTAAGCTGAAGAGCTGAGACACAGGGCCCAGGCCCAGAGTTCAAGCCCCAAGACCACCAACAACAACAATAAGCCCCAAGACCAACAACAACAACAATAACAACAACTGAAAAGGAAGGAAGGAAGGAAGGAAGGAAGGAAGGAAGGAAGGAAGGAAGGAAGGAAGAAAGGAAGGAAGGAAGAAAGGAAGGAAGAAAGGAAGGAAGAAAGGAAGGAAGAAAGGAAGGAAGGAAGATTGATTGTGAAGATACCAGAGCAGGATAACAAAGTCAGGAGAAGGCTTCTTAAAACTGCTTAAAAGCCAGGCACACAGTGTGACTCAATCCAGTAACCCTAGCTACTCAGGAGGCTGAGATCTGGAGGACCCTGTTTCAAAGCCAGCTCTGGCAGGAAAGTCTATGAGATTCTTATCTACAAAAAATCTACAAAGGGGCTGGGAAGGTGGCTCAGTGGTAGAGAGCTTGCCTTGCATGCATGAGTCCCTGGGTTCAATTCCTCAGCACCACCTAAACAGAAAAAGCCAGAAGTGGCGCTGTGGCTCTAGTGGTAGAGCGCTAGCCTTGAGCTGAAGAGGTAAGGAACAGTGCCCAGGCTGAGTTCAGGCCCCATGACCAAAAAAAAAAAAAAAAATCTACAAAAAAAAAAGCCAGAAATGGAGCTGTGGCAAAAGTGGTAGAATGTTAACTTTGAGCAAAAGAAGCTCAGGGACAGTGTGCAGGGCCAAGTTCAAATCATAGTATCAGTACCAAAAACAAAACGAACTTTGCTTCAAACCACTAGTACAGTGTGAGCTACAAGAGTGGCTCATGAGGAGGAGGCTACAATGCTTGATAAGAAATGTACTCACTATCTTGCCCATGTAATTGTAACCCCTCTGTACAGTATTTTCACAATTAAAAAAAAAAAAGGAGTGGCTCTTGAGCTGGGCGCTGGTGGCTCACACCTGTAATCCTAGCTAATCAGGAGGCTGAGATCTGAGGATTGTAGGTCAAAGCCAGCCTGGGCTTTTATCTCCAATAAACCACTCAGAAAACCAGAAGTGGTGCTGTAGCTGAAGTGGTAGAGTGCTCGCCTTGAGCTGAAGAGCTCAGGGACCCTATCTTTAGAACAGACAGTATTAGCTACCAACAACTGCTAGAAAAACAAGTAATTATCCAGTTGGGTATGAACAGGCAGAGAGAATAATAAATGTAGTCTATGGAGATAAATTAGAATATTTTCAGGAGAGAAGCTGAAAAGCAATTCCCGCATATATTCAACCAGAACAGTTTGGAACTGCTTTTTTAAAACCCTTGAATCAAGGGTTCCTAGGCTCTTAGCTAGGTATTGGTGCACACCTATATAATCCAGTATACAGGAGGCTGAAGCAAGAAGATCACGAGTATAAAGCCAGCCTGGGCTACAGACCCTGATTTTGCCTCAAAAAAAAAAAAAAAGTTATTGAATCACTACTCTATTTCCTTTCCATCTCTTACTCTAAGCCCCTGTGGGCAAAGACATTGTTCACCTGATCATCAAATCTTTCTTAAGTTCTTGCTAAGTGCTAGAGCTACAATCAAAATATAGTTTGGGTCATCAAGGAGCTTAGTCCGAAGGGGAAGTCAATAATAATAAAGTATGATACATATTGAGACCTTATCTAGACCCCATGCTTTGTTCAGTTCTTTGGACACATTCCAGCTTCCTCTAGTCCAGGCTTTCTACACAATGTTCCCTCCCTTACAAAAAGCTGCTCTAGACCCCTCATCTCTGGCTCCACATTTAAGGCCATTAAGTAACTTCCTCAAAAAAGTCTGCTTGACACCTTGTCTTGCTTCACAGGCGTGACTAGAGACTCCCACATAGACAGACTAAAGTGTCAGAGGAGTCTTGGGCAGGGATAAAGACTAGGAATACTCTCCAACTAATGCATTCAGGGTTGGGAAACTATGGCCCAAGGGACTAGGTGAGTTCCTTGGTGCATGCCACCACAACACTGTTACCCCTCATTAAGTGCATCTTAGCTCCCTATTAGCATGTCTTTCCTGCTGAATAACAAGGAAGAAATGACTTTGCAATCCCCTTAGTTAAACTGAACAGTTTCCAACATGTCTCCTTCTATGAATCTGATTTAAGACAATGGTTTTCAAGCTTACAGAAGGTAAGACAAAATTCTTTCTCCAAAAAAAAAAGGCTTAATTAAATCCTCAATATGCAAAATAAATAAAGACCTGTTTTAGCGGAAGAGGCAAGGGTAAAGGGCTTTGGGGTTATCTTCATTTCTTCCTATCTATTACATTCCTGAAGAGGCCATAAAACAAGGACTGAAAATCCCTGGCTTAAAGCCACATAGAAACCTTATTCTTTTTGTGGTAGACCTGGTGTTTGAACTCAGGGTCTGGGTACTGTCCCCAAAATTTTTTGTTTAATGCTAGGACTCCACCACTTGAGCCATAGCTCCACTTCCAGTTTTTTGTTTTTGTTTTTTTGGGGGGAGGTTGGTGCTGAATTGGAGAAAAGTCTCAACTTTGCGGCCCAAGCTGGATTCAAACTTCAATCTCAGATCTCAGCCTCCTGAGTAGCTAGAATTACAGGTGTAAGTCACCAGCACCCGTCAGAAATCTTATTCTTTTTTTGTTGTTGTTGTGGGGCTTGAACTCTGGGCTTGGGCGCTGTCCCTGCGCTCTTCAGCTCAAGGCAAGCGATCCATCCCTTGACCCACAGTGCCACTTCTGGTTTTCTAGTGGTTTTTATTGGAGATAAGAATCTCGGGGCTGGGAAGGTGGCTCAGTGATAGAGCACTTGCCTTGCAGTGGTGCTGTAGCTCAAGTGGTGACCAACCAAAAAAAAAA